TTAGTTCTTACTCCTAGAACATGATAAACTTTATCAAAGTTCATTATTTCATGTTCAAACTTCAAAACCAATAAGATAAAATATTGATTTTAACATAGCACAATTAATTTGCTAGCACAACAAAATAGTTCAATATTTTGTACATAGTTTTTAATGACCCAAGGAATGCCAATCACAAAATACTGAAATATTTTATCCATTGTTGGAAGAAATATTTTATGTAGTATGATATTACTACAAATAATATTTAAACAAATACATTGTATTAATAAATATTACTGCCATAAGCCTGCATAATTGCCACATAAATTAGCTGGTAACGGTCCACCAGCAGAAAATAATCGTGTTCCTGAATAATCATAGCAATGTGTATAAATTGCAGGTGTATATTTCACTTGTTGAAATCCTTGGTCCACCATGAAATCTTCGTCAGGATACTGATAACAAATTTTATAAATGTATAAACTACAATTGAATTTCAAATGATAATACTTACAACATAACCTCTACTTGTTTTTAACACAACTGCTCTACTGGAGTTAATACTAGATTCTAAGTACTTTCCTGCCCGTATATCATAAAACATTATTACACCAACACCTGTTCCAATTGTAATTACATTATCTTGAAAACTTAAAGACCTAATTCCTGCAACACAACAAATTAATAACTAAATTAGAATGGATTTATTTGAATTTTGATAGTCGAGTGACGAGGGAGGATGCACAGAACTGGACAATTCTCTCATGGAACAGAGTATAGAACAAATTTAAAAACTTGATAAATATACAAACCACATCCACTATATCTTGCAGGAATTTTTTTTATGGTATGTAATGTTCTTGAATCAAGTAACAGTGTATATGAACGGCATCCAACAGCATATAAACTACTATCATTTTTCATTGCCATACAGACATTGTCCTGACAAGAGGATAATCTTCTTGAAAATCTCTGAAAGTGAAATGGGAATTATAAGTTAAAAAATAAAAAAAAATTGTATAAATGTATTTGTGAACATTTTATTTGTGGGCAGGAAACGGAAGTTCATTTTCATACTATAAAATGTATATTTAGATTACTTAACTAACTACTAAATAAAGTAATCAATACTATTTATGTCTCTTAATAGATTAAAAATAAATAAATTGTTTTTAAAAATTCATAATATTATAAATTGCAATTACTTGTTTAAAACGTTCAACATCCCAAACATGAACATATCCATTTAATGACAATGTAACCATTTCTTTTAAACTCTTATTAAATGTGATTGCTCGGACTTTTTGTGCTGTCTTACAACTTCTTATAACTGCAGGACTAAGAAATTGAGTAACTGGTTGTATAAGGTCGCCATCAGAATCATACTTTTCTTGATATTTATCTTGAACTTGCCATAGAGCAAGCTTGGTATCCCGTGATCCACTAACAAAAAACTCATCATCCAACCATTCAATATCAAATATCCAATCTTTGTGAGCACCCTAATAAAATAATAACATAAAATAACAGTTGAGTGTTTTTTTTAAATGTTATTCACCTCAGCTAGAACAATTGGATCTAATGTTGGCAATCTATACACTGCAATTTCATTAGAATTATATGCTCCTGTTGCCAGTAATGTTCTGGATGGATTAATTTTTAACGAATGAATACCACTTTGTTGATCAGCTGCTTCATCTACACGTCCTTTTATCGATGGTATTTGGTCCAGTTCGTGAGATTTTACGTTATATACCATTAACTATTCATAATAGTAAAATAAATGTGAGATATAATAAGTCTGTAGCTTATGAATAATACAACTCATTATTTGTTGAGTATAATTAAAGTTAGACAATATAAATAAAATATGTTTTTTTTTATGTTCCACAGTTTTAATTTAATACTGAATATATTGGGTATTTATTTTCTAATTGTATGGTCTATGATCATATTATAAAATTAATTTTATTAGATACTGGTTTATTATTGTCCTATAACAATAATAATAACTAACACCTTCTATACCTCCTTCGGCACCCTGTGATATATTTTTTTTATTTTTGTTAAATACCTACTCACAAAAATTATAAATAAGTGATATTAATAGTAATATTATCTAGTATATATACCCTAAAGGGGAAACTTTTCAGTTTTACCAGACACCTTTTTTTATTTGAATTAACATATGTAGTTAAGCATGCTGAAAATGATGGTGAAGCCAGAATTTGGCAGTCGGATTTAGTTTTAAAATTATAACTAATTGAAGTGTATAGTATTTTCATAACACCCAGCATGCTCACTCACTTGAAAAATTAAAACCGAAGATGTCCCTCGACTTGTTAGGTAAAACCACCTTGGGTGGATCTTGGACTTAAAATAGCTACCTACCTATATGTTAAAACTCAGTCTGTTCGCCAAATTTTGACTGCAGAATTGTTTTTAGCATGTTTAACTAAAAAAAATTGTAAAAAAAATGGTGTCCCATAAAACAGAAGTATATTTTTATTGAATTAGTCATCGATTATATGGGTGACAGGAATTCACAAGCCCGGGCGTGGCTATTACAAACCCGTACTTTTTCTAATTTTAACTTTTAAAAGTTCATTTCACCATACTAAAGAAAAAACTTAATATTTTATCATTAAAAAATCTATTCAAGTGGTTTTTTTACAAAATAATATTGTAAGTATTATTAAGTATAAATGTATACATGTATTTTATACACCAAATAGTAATATTAGTATTATTATAATTATTATTAAAATTATACTTAGGTATTAGTTATCCTCAGAGTATAATTTCTAAATGGCAAAAATATAAGAATGTTAGAAATGTTAGGATTATATTCAGTGTACTTACTTTATTACATTTTGTACCAAAGACAATTTGTTTACTACTAAGCCATTGTGAACAAAAAACTTTATTCATTGTTTTTAATGGTATAGACCGTTCTTTAAATAAGTCATGTGTAAGAATATGCCTTGTACCATGATTTTGATTTACTGAACGATACTCTCGCATTCCATATTCTCGGTTTCTTATATAATCAACAAAATTATATGAAGAGTTTAGCATGGTACATAATGACATTGTGCTCTCTTCTTCTTCCTCCGAGTCTTCGTAGCAAACAAAATCTTCCGGTTTATCTGACTTTCTGGACCGTTCCATTCTAGCCATACGTAACTGTAAGCTACGTTCATCAAGTCTGGATTGGTATGCACAAGGTGGCCGTGAACCAAAGACTGGCACACGCCTTGTTTGTGCCATCCTAAAAAAATAACAATGACACTAAATACCATTTTCTATTTGTAAAAAACGAGATATGAGTAAAATCCCGATGAGTATAAAAACAATCAAAATATATATTACAAAAATTTACCTTAAGTCCGGTGTAAGCTAGTTATGATATTGCAACATCCCAAATCAATCAGAACAAGGAATGTTGAATGTAACATGGGAATTTATGTACAAAATATACATATTAAACAGAAATTATATTACAAATATATTAACAAAATTGGTAAAATCAGTAAAATTACAAATAATAAGATAATTAATAAATATTTTTTAAATTGAAAACAAAAAGATAAAATATTAGTGTGATGATAAGTAGGTCACAATTGTACCAACATTGTACAATACTTTTATTATTGTAATTTTACTGCAACTGAAAACCAGTGTTGAAGATAAACTGATAAACACATTTTACAAAATAAAAATGTTTAGATTACAGATTGCAATCACGATATAGAAATATTCATGTTGCCTTATTGCACGAGGACGTAAGGTATAATTATAATAAGTAATAACGAGAGAATTAGCAATAAAAGGCCCTCATTATAAGAGAAGGGGTCAGTTCGGCCCCGTGTTAATTATATTCAACTATTCAAGACGTCCAAAATCATATGTTTGGCAGTTGTCCGATGATATTCGAAAAGAAATTGTAATCAAATTATAAAATGAATGAATGAATCATTAGATCATATTAATATATTAGAGGAAAAAATAATACGATCTATTCACAGTTCATTAGAATCTTGGGAGTATACTATAATAATTGAGACTTGAAACTTATTGTCTTCATGTTCAAGTTTGAATTGCACTGCGTCAACACAAATCAATGCTATGTACTCAGTTCATCCGTATAGGCTCACCGTTAATTAATGCATTATTATTTTTAAAACATATGTATTAATGTATCATTATATTATTTCGGGACTACATATACCTTGAAAATTAAATTACTGATGTATTTGCCAATTATCAATATAGAACTATAGAAGCCATTAAGCCAGCAAAATATATAAACATTTTTTTTGTTTACACACTCGATTTTTCGATATACATAACTAATTTTATCATTCATCCATATTTTATAATTTGTACGTCTTTCTATAGTGCGGTAAATAACATGCATTTTTATAATACTAACGTATTTTTCATATTTAGTGAAATTAATTCCGGTCTATGGTTGAACCTTCTTAGTGAAAAATGTACTGTGTGGATGAGTTCATGATATATCTACATAGCTTATAGTTATATTAAATATAAATACTATGAAAATGTATTGCATTAACTCATATTTTTTTAATTACAATGTACTAATATGTATACTATCTACTATTCTACATTTATATTTATATGTATTTTTTATCATGTAGCTATTATATTGTGTTACATATGTTTATATTTTTTATTATTTACTACAGGATTATTAAGCAGATATTTTTAAAAAAAATTGATGTATTCAAATAAAAACTCTAAAGAGTAATTTATGAGTAATTAATTTTACACAAAGACAAATACATACAAAGGTTAATAGTCCTTAAAAATGGTTTTACAAACATTTTAAAGATAGAAGTTACAATTGAAGTATATTTAAGATTTCAGAATCCAAAATCAGAATTTGAATTCATATATAATTTTAAAAAGTTAGGGGTTAATAAACTTGGAAAAACACCATACAAAATGGGATAGTCAAATTGTACTAAATACTAAAGAAAATACACAACAGATGATAAAAAATAATTCTTTTTTAAAAATTAATAAGTGTGCATTATTTATTACAATTATTATTACAATACATTAGGGTTATTGGAATATTTAGCCCAATCAGTATTACAAGGTACTACAGGTAAAATCCAACCCAAAGGAATACTGCTAGATTCTGATATTTCATTTTCATCGACAACATATTTATCCCAGCCTCTCCTATAATAAATGAATAAATTATTATTTAAATATTATTTGATACCAAATATTGATAATACCGTATTTCGAGGAATGTATAGTTATCAAACACCATTTCATGGGAACTAAAATTTGGCCCAAACAGTATATGATCCCATTCTGCAAACTTTTTTTGAATTTCAATTTCCCGTCTTTCGTGTTTTTTTGCTTCAGCTTCAGTAAGCATATTTTTCAATTCTTCTTCTTCTTTATTGTAGTCTGTTAGTTTCTGCTGCCAAAGTATTTTTAGTTTTTCTATAACAAATAATATTAAATTTAATTAATTAAGCATAATAATAATATCAATTTATTTATTCATTTTAAATAATATACTTAGGGAATTTTCAAAAAGTGGATTTTTTCTTTGGTTCACACAGTTTAAAAGTCTAGATTTTCTTAATTTTTCTAAATTATCCAACAATGATATCTGATCTTTAGCATCTTCAATTTTTTCTCTAACCCTTTTCAAGACAATGTTGGCTTCTGTTTTAGTTTCGTTAACCTATTTATGAAATAACAACTTGTTATAAATATTAAATAAACAATTGAAAAATCTTACTCTTTTTTCTTTTAATATATTTTCTTTTAATGTATTTTGCCAAGCATCAATCTTTCTGTTTATTTCTCTTATTTCATCTTTTTGTTGAGATTTAATTATTTTTAGGTTAGATTTAAATCTCTTTAATCTATTCCTTTTTTTCTTTCTTTTGGCTAATTGAAATTTTAATTCAGACATTGAGTCAGTATCAAGATGTAACTTTTTTATTATGGTATCCAAGCAGTTCTACACAAGAAGGAACACAGAAATTAATTTTATTTTTTATCATTATCATCTATATATCATTTACTTTATCCAAGATTAAATCAGAACATGCTTTTTTCCATTCAGCTTCCGTCATAGTTGATACATTCTGCTCCATAAATATTTTTTTTTTACCCATGATTTCTAATAAATGTTTACATTCTTTGACATTATTGCTGATTTGGTTAATCTAAAAATAAGTTTAAATTAATAATTATTAAGTATAAAACAAATGCAAAAGTTTTTATTGGAATTTACCTCTACTACATTTGTTGATTTCACGTTCTTAATTGTAAAATCTTTTTCTTTGCCGGCTAACCACTTTTCGATCCAAATACTAGTTGCGTCTTTTAAAGCTTTTGGTATAGGGCATACATATTTAAGAATGTATTCTTCATCAATATTGTCCGGAAGAGACGAAAATAAATTGCTTATATTCTGATTAGATGGTACATATTGGTCTTGATAGTATTGATTACTAATATTGCTACCATAAGGCATACAATAGTTTTGTGCTGGCTGATTACACGGAGATAGATGTGGGTGAACAAAATCTAAATTATACATTGATTGAATGGGTGGAGGCGTAGTAAAAGGAGGTGGAGGACATGTTAACCAGAAATTGTTAGCATTCGCCTCAGAATATATGTTACTATGAATATTTTGTTCAGACATTTTAATATAATAAAAAAGTTTTAATAATAATTTTAATAAAGGAAAAAAATGTTAGTGTTTTAAATGTATAAAAATGTTAAATTAAAGAAATTGATTAATTAATTTCTTTTTCAGCTTCAGCTAAAAACTTTTGAGCGTTTAAATAATCTTGTTCTTCTTTTAGTTCTTCACAATCAGCTATAACACTCTTCAAATCTTCAAATGCAGCTTTTAATCTTCTTTGAGTGTCTGGGATCATCATCTGTGACTCCCTAAGTACTTCTTCTTGCTTCTTAAAAGTATTCTCATCAATTCCTATAAAAATAAAGTTATATATTTAACAGCCTTCACTTTGTTATATTATAAAAAAAAAATGACTTATAATCATTGAACATTCACTTAGTTAACCATACAAATCATTGAATTTAAAATATGTAGTTACATGTTTCGCATTTCTTAAGAGGAAAATAATTTGAACAGTATTTTAACAAGCTCTGTTACTAAATAGTATGGCTCCAATATATAAGTTAAAACTTATAAAGATTTCTTCTAATTTTATAAATGAATTCTAATTTACAATGTTTACAATATTATAAGTAATATAAATATTTTCAAACAAACAGATAATGATGTTTGAATTTATTATTAATAAAAATTCCAAGGATACTATGGTGAATAATTTATATATTATAGCTGTTGTTATAAAGCAATCAGAAAATGTTTATTCTCATATTTTCCCATCACAAAACATTCCAACATCAATACTTTATATAAATTAATAATTACTGATTACCAACACCATGGGAAAATAAGAAGAACATCTTTTTTTGACATGAGTTATATAGTAATATTAAATAATTCTTTTCACTGGAAAATCAGTCACTCACATCTCAATATTTCATTTCACTATTTCAGAATTGTAATTACTGATTTGTTATTTGTATTACTGTTTTATAATTGGGTTGTCAAAATAAACTTATAAATTATAATGACACAGTATAGATAAGGATCAGAAATCGGTGAAATTCTACGGCCCCATAATATCATAGATTTTAAACTTTGTGTCTATGCACGATACTGAAAAAGCTATCCACCAATTCCACCAACACAACAAAACTCCTCACCGGTAGCGCTGCCTCCAATCAACGAGAGGACTGGTCGACTGGACAATGATAGAAATATAGAATAATCATAAACCTGGTAAGTACATTGTTTATTCTATGCTATCATAATTCATAGACCTAAGTCCTAAAGGTGGATTCTACCTCCGACCACGTCTTGTCGTGTAGTGTTCCGTATATTTAATGCATAGGTATCAAAATGCTGGTCACACGTTACTTACAAGTTGAATATAATCAACTCTACACAGCACATATGAATGTATGATCATAATAAATAAAGTTTTTTGGGTATGTTATCGTTTTGGCTACCACACGACGTGTTTACGAAAACTGTTAGATGACGTCGGCCGCGCGGCGTTATAATCAGAAACTTCAGTGTATTTGTAGCGCATGTGACGTCACGTCAGCGTCATGCGCATAGAATCTGCGTGATCATACCTTATGATTATTTCTATCATGGACAGTTTTGAACATAAGGTAGTTGATGGCTGATAAACAATTTGGCCGAACCTTGCATATGCGTATGGCGATCCATCAATCCGAAAGGATTTCGAATATAATTACAAACCATCGAGATAGATTAACAATAGATCTCGATGTTTAAAACAATTTATTGAACAAATTCTACTTTTTTTCCCTGATTAAAAAAAATTACCTCTCGGGAAATTAACTATTATTATGATTTTTTTTATAGACCGAGTGGTACATTATATTCCCTATGTATACTTTTTAAATTCTTTAACATGAAAAATCAATTTTTTAATTAAAAAATGGTATACTGGTTCGTTATAGTCCAAGGCGAGTGAAAACTTTAGAGCCCCGCCATCCATAAACCAATAAATACATCATATAAATATAAGATAATGAGTTTATTTATTGATATTATAATGTTTATAATTCGGCGGAAAATACGTACCATTACTTTTAAGTACCTACTTAATAATCAATAATACCTAAAATAACTCGATACACGGATCCAACATCACAGTACGTATTTGTTCTATTTACGTGGCGATCAAAACTAAACAATAGTAATCCTGTTGGACACCATCTAAAAAGATACAGCAGAATTTCGGGAACAACAGAAACCATAATTTTTAACATTATAAACATTTTTATACATTTTGTAATTTATCATTGTTTTAAAAGTATTATTCCATTTTCAATTTTAATTTTTTAAATATATCGACATACCTATCATTGAATTATTAGATTAATATCCATAAATAAACTCATTATTTTGTATTTGTACGATGTATTTATTGTTAAATGGATGGCGGGGCTATAAAAAACCAGTACCAAAAATTATCCACATGTTATGCCTCTGTTGAGCAGCATAAACACAATAAATTATTATTATAGATGAAAACCTAAAAATCTGCTCTCTACTTACTAACAACTGTTGCCCATTATAACACATGTAAAAATATATCTCAAATTTATAAAAGTTGAAAAAACGTAGAAAAACTAAATTTAAAAAAAAAGGTCAAGAAATAAATTAATGTAGGTACCTAGTAACAATATGAGAACCTAATAAAAGAAAAATGTTTGATTGTTCTATTTTAGTCAAAATGAAAAATGATTATGGATCAAAAAGTTAATAACCTATAATAATTAAAATCTTATTTAATGAGTTTTGATAGTATCTAATAAACATTAAAGAAACGTGTAAACATAATTAAGAACACTATTAAGAATAGTAAAAATTGTAATAATTAAGGATAAATAGGGTTTGAAATTGAATGCCCTAAAAGGAGGACTCAGACAAAATAGGTACATATAAAAACATAATTAATTTGTTTGGACATCATATTATTATGAATGTAAAATTATGATTTGAATGAAAAATATTCCAGATAAACCTCTAAATATCCTTTTAATTTTATAAATATTAATGAGAAATTAAAATCTTAAATAAATACCTAACAACTCACTGGTGCTGTAACATAACCTAAAACATTTAGGACCTACCTTAGATTTTCCACTCGTTAAACAAATTTCTTTAAATCAATACCATTTCAATGTTCAGTTACCTACTTTTTAAGTCAGAAATAGTGTTTGGATTAAGAATGTAGGCAGATCTAGTGGGTAAATAACTGAATTATGCAGAATCATTTAATTTTATTTGTCTTGCAATTTTAATCTTGAAATGTTTTGAAAAATAAAAATAATTTATCAATGTATACACTGTACACGATTAACTTATTGTTTGATACCTAATACCAATTTTAAGATTTCCTAAAAATTATAGATTATCACCTGGTTTGTTATAAATCATACATTTTATAAAAATATTTATGAATAGTTAATTAGTTATTATTTTTCATACAGTTCATGAGTTCAATACACACATTATATTATAATGTAGTTCCATAAAATATAAATAGGTACTAAGTATTCAATGGCACTAAGGTTGGAATTAAATAAAAATAGAAAATAATGGTAATTTAACTCACCAGCCTTTTTCAATTTCTCAACCTTTTCCTGTTGTTGTTCTGTTTCTAGTATATACATAAGTTTCTCTTTTGTTAATCTTTTCACTACTCCGGTTTTGATCTTTAGTGTCTTAATACGAGGATCAGCCATTACTGTCTTTTCCGTAAAGATATTATAAAATAAACGAGAAAGTATTACCTTTGATGTTACACTTACGACTGGTAAAAGCAACACAAAAAAATTGACAAAAGGATTATTTAATTGTATGTTTACTATGCAAGGAAATAATAATCGAGAAATGTAATGTAACAAGTAACAACTCCAAACTAAAAATGTATTAGCTATAGGTTGTTTAGTTGTTATGGAAATTTGACTTTCGAATTTTTATAACCTAAAAACTTAACGTAATTTATGAATTACTTTTTGTACAAATCATGGCTCATGTAAACAAAAAGTGTCTATAAAAGTATCCTTATCGATAGCCATGGACGATAGATACGTATTGTCACAGTGTTGTATCTATAAACCTTGGGTGTCAAACATAAATTGAGTAATGGTGTACTCGATAGTGTTAAACTGTTAAAATGTTTTTGTTATTATTCTCATTTATTTTCATTATCTATATTATGATTATCATACTATATAGCCAACAGCCGTGCCGCCATGCTGAACTGTTAACAAATAAAATGTCAAAGTGATTTATTAAATTTATATCAAAAAAGGCGTATAAAAAATTAAAAAACAGAAGTGTATGATATTCCAAATTGCTATAAATATTAAATTGACGTCTCAAAATCAAAATATTTTCGAGTTTTTATTCTGCACTCTACGTTATTTCGTTATACTATCATATACTTATAGTGTTATTAATCATAACAATTTTCATCAAACTTCCTATACCTATTTCAAATTTGTTTTTCTTCATAAAACTACATTTTAAAAACTATATAATATTATGTGCTCATAACTTAATATATTTAAAATTATGGATGTAGATGATAATTTTCCTGCAGCTAAGCGCATCATTACTGAAATCCAAAGTATAGTCAATAGTGATTCTAATCTGTGAGTATAAGCAATTACATTTTTACGGTGTAGGAATGTCTTGATAAATCATTATTGTTCCACATTATGTTTTAGGAAAGAATTTGACCTAGTCATCCAACCAGAAAGTCAAAATAAATCTCCAGTGATTTATATAGACCATTGTTTAGGTCTTGAGTCGTGGTGTGTACGCCATGTGTATGAATATGTCTACCAAAGACTTGTTTGTGTAAGAAAACGATTAAAAAGACAAGGTAACATTTTCATTGATAACAATTTTTTTAATTAACTCACTGCTTAATATTGATATTTTAAAATATGTATGTGTTTTGTAATATGTTTAATTATGTTTAACATTTTATTTAGTGGCCAATGAAACAATAACATTGCTTACATCTGCTCTCTTGTTAAATCCTGAAGTCTTAACATTTTGGAATATGAGACGAGAGTTAATTCTTGATGGGCATCTAAAACCAGAAGATGAATTACAATTTTCAGCTGTTGTTTTGACATTTAAACCAAAATGTGCTGAGGTATTCACCTACAGAAGATGGATATTCCTTAACATTTTAAAAGGTAAATCAACATAGGTATCTATTATTTATAAGAAACAAATATACTTTTTAAACTTTCTTGTGTGATATTCAATTTTATTAAAATATAACTAATATAAGTACAAATCTTAAAATTAATAATACACAATCTTTGTATTGCATAAAAAGTTCTTTGAATCAAATTTGAATCATTTATTAAAATATTAGTATCATGGTTCATGATACACAAATAGACAAGGACTTATAATACAATATTAAAAATATTAAACGTGATAAATAAATTGTCAAATGATAAATAATAATCATCAAAAATTAGGAATCGGTGCATCATTAAATTAATTTATTAATGTTGACGTTCATGTAGGGCTCAAGTACAGTAGGTACATGCCTAATACAATTTATTAAAAATATAATATAAATACAATACATATATAGGTAATAATCATATAGAGCATATTGATAATATTATAGGTTAGTTACAATAAATTACAATTCTAATGAAATAAAATAGTATTATGTCTATTAATAAATGTAAATTACCTTACTAGTTTGAGAAACATTCACTCGAGGTATACTTTTAGTAATAAATCAAAATATTTTAGCCCATTGGCCATTACGTTCTCATGGGATACAGTTAATAATATAATAACAACTGAGGAAGGAGGGAAATTATTTCTAATGTCTATAAAAGTTACTGGGAATACTAATTTAGATAGCTGTACATTAACCGAAACCTAAAGTAAAACCTCGGCATCAGTATGCTAAACTTATTAGCGACCCTAGTTAAACCTATTCTGTAAATACCTTATCAGCCCCCACTCCCCCTCCAAAAAAGTAAAATTCCTCACTGCGCCACTGGGTGTAATGCTAATATTTGTTGGTATTATTCATAAATTATAAAACATTGTTAATGTGATAATAACATATATTGACTGGGGTTTTTTGAATTCAGCTTTCCAGCCTCAAGGAACCTAACCTAGCCCCCTGGTATTTACATTGTCAGTAACATGTACATCTTGTGTATCTAAATTAAAATTGAACCATGACTATACAAATTATGTTTTATTTTGGACAAAATTGTTTATTAATTGTTTTTTTTATGTATATATTTAGATTTTAGCTGTAATGATATTGTACTCAATGAGTTGACAGTAGGATTAACAGCTGCTGCTGGATATCCAAGTAATTACAATGCTTGGAATCATTGTTTTTGGTTTATTCAAAAATCACTTGAACATGAGAATTTTTCATTGATTTCTCATCAATGGGAAAAAACTAAAATTTGGTGCCGTGAACATGTATCCGACCACAGTTGTATGCAATACAGACAACGGTTACTTAAATGTTTAGTTGCCGATAAACGGTGCTTACAGCATCTAGAGTGCTGTACATCCAAGTCCCTTTTGCGATTTTTTAACTCTGATGAACGACATAAACTTATGAGACCATCAGAAGACTATTTTGGTGAAGCAATTTGTGTTGCTTTAGATGAATTATATTTTAATGAAGATCTGATTGTGATGTATCAAAGTCATGAATCTCTATGGAACCATCGTAGGTTTTTATGTTATTTATTAGTAAATATTTATAACATTGACTGTATTAAAGAAGCATTAATGAATAATGAAAGAAGAATTTCTACTAAATTATTAAAAAATAATGAGTTATATGTTAAAAAACATGTTTTGTGGCTTCAAACAGCATTATGCATTCCTATAAAATTACTTTAATTTTAATAACTACCATTAATCTACTGTGTTGAAAAAATAATTAAATTTAATACCTGTTAGAATGTAAAAATCAAAAAATGAAGAAAATGTGACAAATAATGAGTGAGATTCTAATTTTAAAGTTAATAATTATTATAGTTTTTAGTATCTGTTTAAATATGTTATTGCTTATTTTTAATTGTTGTAGTTTACTAATTTTTTGTTTTATTTCTATTGCCTCTGAAGAAATGAATAAATAAAACAGTCTTGTACAGAATAAAAACTATCATTCTTGATATTGCTTGTTTAACTGTAACTTGAACTACTAAAATTGAAAAATATCAATAATATATTTGTCAATGACACTAAAGCGGGTGTTCCGCTAAGAGATTCCCGTTACAATATCTCCTGGGATGATAAATATATCATAAATCTGTTTTTTTTTTTTTATTAGATTCAGAGACAAGGACTACATATATTTTATTTTTTTATTTAATTAATTCTTTTGATAAAAAAGTTAAAAAATGTATATTTTTATTTTTGAAACAAATGACGATATCCATTTTGTAGAGTTCATTTTTCTGACAATTCTAAGTTAAATTGAAATTAACTATTAAAATTTTTTATTTTATGTATAAAGTAAAAGTGTACATTTTGCTCTCAACATAAGTATTTAGTCTTATTATATTTATATACATCTATCAATCTAGTGATGCAATAGAAGTTTAAAAATGATTTTATAACAGTATGTCAAACAATGTCCAACAATGTCCACTGGTGAAAACTTAACCCCTGTCACTTCACCATTTTCAGTGATATGCATTGAAAACAAAATTAGACTTATTTAATGGGTTGCGTGTGTGATACTGATAAACGCGTACAGTGTATTAACTGTTTATACACTATTAAGAGGACTATGTACCAGTATGTGTTGTCTCCGTCTTACTAACGCATAATATACCAAAATGTACTTTTTGCATTCTGCTGTGTCCGCAGCATCTGCTAATTCCATCAATATTTGATGATATGTTGTAAATACTTGACATTTTGTAACTGAAAGATTAAGTTATAAGTGGGCAGGTTTGCTTCTTGTTGTCAACATGGTATTTATTCTAAAATCTATATGTACGAGTGTTATTGATCATATTTGTAGAGTACCTACGTATCAAATAATATTTTTCAATATTTTGTACTGCAATAAGTATACAATTTTCATGTTATTTTGTAGTTTTTATTACAAACATTTTAACAAATCCATTAATATTAAAAAAAAAAATATTGTGAATTAATTGCATTACTGAATAAGTACACTTTACCTCAATCAAATTAAACTTTTAAAAATATATAAGTACTTTTCTATATATTTTTTTAACTACAAAGTAATAAAAGTTTAATATTAAACAATTATTAGTTAATCGTAAATGTCCTAATTACAGTGTATCATAACTTTAATTGCATTACCAACCCCAGTTTCAGCCGTTTTAAAAGCTTCCAATGATTCTTCAATTTTAAAATTATGAGTGATTAATGGCTTCATGTTTATTTGTCCTGAGGCTACTAAAGCCAATGCATCTTGGTAGCTAAAACAAAATTATAGTCATTAATAAAGTATTATAAGACTTAACTAATCAATTAATTTGTCTATTGATAATATACTCATTAGCATAGCGGAAAACTCCTCTGATGTCTACTTCTCGAGATAGTGCACTGAATAATGGCAATTTGACATTGCCTGCTGCTCCCATTCCAACAATTGTTAAAACTCCTCCAGATTTTGTTAGCTAAAATATAACAATTTGTTTACCAATTATACCACATATTATTAGAAGATAATATTTATGTGTGTGTGTTAATGATCCACAACCAAGACGTGTTTATGTTGCACTCGTAGTGCTGAAATTGGGTACATAGGTAATCCTATACCCGAGCATGTGCACCTTAAAGACACCCAGGAATTAATTAGCTCACAAAAACTAATATTTGTTGATTTGTATAGGCTTTGATTGAAGAAAATAAAATAGTTATTATGCTTGAGTATGATTTTAGACATGTATTTTACACCTAATTTGGTAAAAGCAATCTAAAAGCAGTTAATAGTTTGTGCAGTTTACATTTAATGAAATTTAAAAAGGAGTAAATCCACCTGCATTTCATTTGTGACAGGCCACACTGAGCAGAATCTGCAAGACTTTAAAATTATATAAATTGATGAAACTGCATGCATCTTTTATGTTGGCAAAAATGTCATTGGTTGCATATTCAGACTAAGACAAATATATAATATAATATTTTAAGGTTTACCTCCATTCCCATTTTAATGGTTTGTTCAAAACCACTGCAGTCGATAGTAACATCTGGAAGTTCGCCATCCATCTCATTTCTTACATTTTCTATTGCTTGTTCGTCTGAATCTCCTCTGTTTACTCTAATTGCTTTGTGAGCTCCCATTTCTATAGCCATATTTAATCTAAATTCTGTTAGATCTGTTATGTAAATTTTTGTAGCCCCCATAGCTTTTGCAGTAACCAATGTAACCAAACCAATTGGTCCAGCTCCTAAAATTAATACCGTAGAACCAACTTTAACACCCCCTCTTTTGCAAGCATGGACTCCAACAGAAAGTGGTTCTAATAGAGCACCTTCTTCTAAGGATATATGATCTGGTAATCTAAAAAATAAACATGTAGGTATAATCGAAATTAATGAATAATAATTAGTCCAATTATGTAATTGTTGAGCTGTAATAAAAAAAAAATGTATCCAATTGAAATAATAAATCAAAAACTTAATTAGGTTTACCTATACGTGTTATACAGCAATACAGCATAACTTACCATCGGTAATCGGTCAAAAAGTTTGTTTTGAAAAAAGCTGGGCAAAAAGTCCAGACTCATTTCTTAACCGTTGGACAAAAAATACAAAATATAGTAAGGTCTCATTGATCGAAACAAGAATGGGGAATGGGATCGTTCGTATTACGTATATTTTATTACGTGCGATGTACGAATGTAATTGACAAATTGTATTACGGGGAATCGGGAAATATTATTATTATTATAAAGGTCGATAGGTACAATGTATGACGTATAAATGCGATGTGATCAGAGCCCTACTCAGGAATTTTGGTGCCTGGGGCTAATTTGTTGGAGCTTAAATTATAAATTCAGTGGTTTTTGCTATATCGTTTTTTGTATATTCAATTTATTTTAAGATTATACCATAAGTCTACAATTAATTATATAATGTTAATGTTGTTTGGTATAAATAAACCATACATGACTGTGGGTATTACAATATTATATAGGGGCCTCTAATTAGGTCTTGGATCGGGGACTGCAGGATGCAGCCCCCTAGCCTCCCCATAACTCACAAGGACCCTGTAATATGATGTAATAATGCTCGAGGCCGTTCGGATTAACGAGGCCCTACTGTATTCTATTAAATTTTCATTTATAAGTTTATTAATAATTAATAATATAATATATTATATAGATTATAGATTTATATAAAATTAATTTCCTTATAGTTTATACTAAATATATTTATTATATATTTTGATTACTATTCCTCATACTAATTATTCAAAATAATGGTCAATATAAAATTTCAGAAATATAATAAAATAAATATACATCTTTTGGCTTTTACAAATATCAAAAAATATTTTAAACGATAAAATATTAGTCCAGACATTTTATTCAACTGTTTTCAAAAACGGACTTTTTGACGATATTTGTATTGACTCTTTCTTAAAACGTAAATTATTTTAAATTAATATTATTATTTAATATTGTAGAGTGATTCATGTTTGTATTGACTATTTTTTAAAAATTGTTTATTTAGAATATTTAAAAAAGATGAGTCTGGACTTTTTTCAAAACAGACTTTTCGTTCGGGATAACCATTAGGAATTAACTATAAATACCTACAGCTAACCAAACCAAAATTTTATATGAAGATAATCACTTATTCACTTAATTGTTAAATGTTCAGTAATTAACTATTAATTCAAAATAAATTATGTACTTAAAGAAAAAAAAATCAATGTTTATGATTGAAATAAGAAAATCTTACTTATAACAAAAATCAGCAGCATGGACATAATAACGACTCAAATTTCCATCTATAGGTGGTGTAGCACAGAATTTCATATCGGGACATAAATTGTATGAACCAACTTTGCAAGACATGCACATACGACATGATACACCTGGTTCAATTGCCACTCTATCGCCTATAATAAAAACATACCATATGCAAACATTTTGAGAAATTCTTCCTATTTATTTAATTTATACTAACCAACTTTGAGATTTGTTACACCTTCTCCAAGCTTCGCTACAATTCCACTGGCTTCATGACCAATAACCATCGGCTCTTTAACAATATAGTGACCTATCGCTCCGTGAACTAAATAATGAACATCCGAACCACATATTCCTACACGTTGAATCTTCAATAGAACTTCTACAAAATCAATTTACAATTTAATATTTGGCAGACTTTTAACATAGTTAATATCGTTACCATTAGGACCGGGTTTTGGTATCGGCCGTTGTTCCTAATAGAAAAAAAAAGAATAAAACCGATCAAATAACTATTAAAAACTCTGTAAATAGGTAATAGAATTTATAATCATACTAACAAGTCGTAAATCTCTAATACCATAGAGTACTGAAGTTAAATTATCATTTTCGTTGTTTATACTTGTATTGGCCATGTTAACTAAAAATAAATGAAAGATTTTATAAAAAATTAAAAACCTGTCAGTAACGAGTAACGACTAATTAATTCAAGTTTAGTTAGATAAATGTCGACAAGAATGAAGAAATGTAGCAGCGCTGGGGGGATATACTTATGTATACATGTAATCATATTTGATTAATATCAAGGTTAAAACGATTATGAACTTGTTACGAAACTGTGTACTTCTAAGATAGTGATTATCTGTAGGTACTTTGTACTTTGTAGATTATCGTTCAGGTTAGTTGAGCTTCAGATAAATTAAAGGATTTTAAACATCATTTATATTCATAGTCTAACAATTGTTACACTTAATTACAAAAAATGAATTGTTTGCATGTGAGTTCTTACTTTTTTTATTAAAAAATTGAATTTTGTACTAAAGCACACGCGTTTAAAACATGTATAACTACGACCGTCCAATCGTTGTAATGATCCTGTTTAGTGCATTTAGAATACCTTTTAGTTTTCGATTACGTTAACATTATGATAGAATTATTGTAATAATTAATAGCATGTAATTATGTAGATCAGACATTCAGATTATCAAAGGTTCCCAAACTTTTCCCAGTGTAGTCGGTGCAATCCATTTTGGGAAAGGTTTAAATGTCGGCGATCATCATATATTGATGACATTTATTATTTATTTCATTGTTGATCTCTATTTTTGCGATAACTTTTAGTCCAGCGGTGTCGTAGGTGAGTGGTGAAACGTCACTGATACTGATGATCGTCGAGGAGAATAATCAATAATAAAACTATAAATTCGAACATTAATGTAAGTCCCTACCTATACACTGGACAAGTATTACACAATAGCCAATATAGGTACCTATGGTTACACGGAAAATACTGCATCATATACTCGCATTTATGCGTAAAATATATTTTCTCTTTATATATATAGTATAACATATTTCATAGACTTACAGTAGGTAATCTAATATTAAATATTTCAAAAATTAACGTGCCCCACAGTTTAGGAACGTCTGATGTAGATTAATAATGCCAACACGATAGAACGTCCATACTTCATACCTAACATAATAGGTTCATCGGCCGCTAGTCTTTTTAAAATAAATAATTTACTATTAAGTATAATATGAATATAAAATATTTAAAGGAAAGCTGTAGACCATTGGTTGCAGTAGTCATAAGGATATTCAGATGTGTGGGTGGATGGAACCCAAAATTTTTTTTTTGATATTCAGTGGCGGATTTAACGGTAGTTTAGTCTGCAAATTCAGACGTGTGTCCAAGCAAATTGTAATTAATTTTTTTAAATTTTTACCACACAAAAACAAATACATTTTACATTTCAAACTACAATAATTATCATTTAACATTGTTACTTGTTAGGTTAGGTTAATAATAAACAACAATTTTGTAATCCAATTTGTATGAGACCCTTCTTATATGGATTTTCCAACTTTATTTAAATCTATTTGACCACAGTTTCTATTATATAATTCACTTTAAACTTTTGTGCCACTACGATTTCATTGATGACTGAAGTAACTGGAAATCACATCCACTTCCAAACTGATGCTGCTAAAAAAGTTCTAGGACCAGATACCTATAACCAGTACGCAATGCTCGATTTGGAAAAAAATAGAAGGGGGACTCATCAGTCAGCGGATGTTGGATGAAAGAGCGCTCCACACACAATAAATTAACAGTCACATTACTATGCGAGCTTCGCCAACCATCCGAGACCCCTCTAGCAGGCAACAAAAATGTTCTGCAAATATAAATACGAAAAAAAGAAAAAAAAACTTATTTATTAATTATTTAAAAAAAAAACATAAAATTTGTCAATTATTAATAAATTATGCATTGAATAAGGTGTACATGCGTTGGCATAGACTATCTTGCATAGTTTCTTATCACTGTATTTTATAGTTTAAAGGAATTTTAACAATTCACTTTTTTTTTTCGTGGGTACAAAGTAAAAATATTATGGCTATTATATTTTGCATCAGAAAGACTGACAATTTACTAATTCACTAGTAAATGTTGCGTTCCCAGCGTTCCTTTACAAAAAATAGAAGGGATACGTTCAAAAAAACTACTGCTTATACGTACATCTATAGAATAATTAAGATCTAAATATCATATTCATATAAGGTACCTCTATTGGCTTTCGTTTACGCAGCATACGCGAATATACATAAAATTATAAGCTTATCGAGAAACGTTCTACATACAATATGATCCTATATATATTTATTTATTTATCAATAACAACCTTTGAGCAAATATGTTTTATAAAAAAAAATTGAGATTTATTTTATTCCTTTATTATTACTATGTTACTAACAGTTAATTATAGCCACGGACTAAACTATCTTAGTCCGTGATTATAGCTATCCTATTGTTTGTGCTCTACCGGCAACATTGCGATTTGCGCATTACCGTTGTCGATACTCTACAGCAATATTTAAATATTATTGTACTTAAAGTGGATGATGTAAAAATGGTTTAAATGACAAATTAAATAATACTTGAAGTTTAGTGAATAATATAAATGTTTATATTATCAACGGCACAGTTATCGTTCTTTGTGATTTCGTATATATTTTTTTTTTAACTCAGTTGTGGTCACGTACCTAAATAAAGCACATTTATATTATTTTCACCAAATTATAAATAGACTGTTCAAAAATAAAATAAATACAACATGCACGAATCAAAACTTTGGCTCACTCTCAGCAAGTCAATTTTCAAGATGGTCAAAGTTACATAAAAAAATTTAAAAAAAAAAAACTCAAAAAGGAGTTACAATTTAAAATTTTTCAATAATATGGGAATATTAAGTTTTTTATAGTGGATAAAAATCAAAATGAAATTCAAGGTCATACGTTCGAAATATTTAGTGTTACCTTTATCGTTGAACACATTGTATTTTGGGAGCTTATCAGGAGTTGTACCGCTCATAATTTTTACAACATTTATCCTCATCAGAGTCCACAACAAACTTTCTATCTTTTGAATACCTATGTGCATCAAATACCATCATTGTAATCGAGTGGTAGAACTAGTGGCGAATCCTGGGTTGAATTTTGGGGGTGGGCCCCCCACAAAAATTACTTCTAAGCACATTATAATGTTCTAGTTCAAGTGTTCCTAAAAATATGAAAGAAATGGTTATTAATGGAATGTTATTAATTGTATTGTGGTCGGAACCGTTTATGTTAAATTAGGCACCTATAATAATTATACTATAGTCTAAAATATATTTGAATTATTTTATTTTAAAGTAACTGTTGAAGAGGTCTGGGGAGAGGCCCCTAGCCCTCCTGGGTAGAAAGTAAGCGTCTTTAACCGCTATAGTAGATTGCAATCTTCGGTAGAGCGCGTATAAATACGACAAGATACTACATAGCCCTATTATTAATAATAAGCCATTATAGGTTTCAGGATTTATTGAACTAACTCCTAACGTAATGATAATAATTTTTAAAATGCTTTAATTGGTCGAATATACCTTTTATTGTAAAATATAACAAAATACGATGTCTATTATTTTTTTAATATAACTACGTTGAAAAACAAATGTACCTAGGTACATAGAGGTTAGAATATTTCACTAGACACTAACATAAAAAAACACGAGAATGCAAGAAGTCCCTAACCCTAAGTATAATATATTTCGTTAAACTGAAATAAACACACCACACGTCCACACAGATAATAACACTCACAGAGCCTGGCTTAATTAAATCAATTGTTTGATGATTTTGATTCAACTCCAATGATGACGCAGCTTCGAAGCCAAAGGCAACAGTGGGAACACGGTGTTGGAAATTAAAAATTTAAACAAATAAGTATAGTATATTAGCACAGATATCTATATGTATCATATAATAAATATAATATTATTATTATATAGATTATCTGTGTATTTATTATTTTAGTGAAAAAAAAACTAATATTATGTATCTCTTATCAGTCGCTTATCGACAGTAAACCTGATAGTCACACGTAGTCTCATCATCACTGATATAACTTACTGCTGACGTAGTGACGTCCAATAACATTACGCGAGGGCATGGATCTCGCCACCGTTTGCAAAGCCGGCAATGCTTACATAATTTGTGATGATAACGTTTACTGATAACTTGTTTGTTGCTGAAACAACTTTTAAGAGCATTAAGTCTTAAGTGTTTTGGTATTGTTTTCTTCGAATTTGGTTTTTACGTCAGTGATGATGATATCTAAAACGGGAAAATAAATGTTAACTTTGAAGTAATATATATATATATTATTTATTGTTGTAACTTCACCGCCTCCTAATATAGAGGAATTTAATAATAAAATATTTTTAGAGGAATTTCTTCTTTTTCTAGAAATATATGACAATTGAATATCTTCATTGGTGGAATTTGTAATATAATAATAATATAATATAAATATATAATAAAACAGTTGTATTATACATTTGTCAGTCTCATATATACGGACTTAGAAGATAACTTCAGGACACTTCCCTATTAATCATAGACCTTATGTTTAGTATAAGTACTTAGTATTATAAGGTCTATGCTATTAATTAACAACGTTAACAATTCGGTCGTTTAGAGCATGGACCTATTAATTAAAGTTATTAGTTAACTTTATTTAATTTACTAAATATGTCTTATGACTTAGAGAGGAAATTTTAGTTGAGTTTTTTGCCGTTGTTTTATTAAGCGCCTCAAACCGAACAGAACTTTATTAAGGTTATGAAATTTTTTTAAAACATTTTAGCGGCAAACGAAAATTAAATTTTAAAATAAATTGTTACTATTGTAACTACTATATATATATATATATATATATGTTACGGATAATGTGGAATACCGGGCAATGTGGTTCTGCCCGGGTAATATAAACCATGATTTTTTTTTAACCAACTAATATTATTTTTTTATTATTATTACCTATTAATAGTATTGATTTTTTTTTAAAACAATCATTATTAATTTTATTCGTGTATCATAATACAATAAACTATGAATTTTTTGAAACACTGTGTATACAATTATTTTTTTTACTTATTGTACCTACTGCCTATTTAAAAACGAAATGTAGAAAAGCAGACAGACTATGTAATTCCAAGTGCCATGCTTCTAAATCTTGTTCAAATAAAATAGGTAACATTAAAATTGTAATTTATTATATAAATAAAATGATGATACTTGTTAATTTTTTTTTGTTATTCCATCAAAATATTCGTAATATTATGGTATACATGAATAAAATTAATGATGATTGTTTTAAAAAAAATCAATAATATAAATAGTAAATGATAATAATTTATAATAATAATAAAAAATAATATTAGTTGGTTAAAAAAAAAATGTGTGGATTTAGATCGCCCGGTATTCCACATTACCCGTAACATGTATGTAAGAATATAGACTATAGAGGCCTAAATAGATGTGCATTTGTGTACATACATGATACATGATACATGGAAATAGAAATTATATTGATATCACTATTAACAGTTCCTAAACCATATAAGTACTTTGAATAGCCAAAAATGTAACAACAGATACTACATTTTTTTCATTCGACATTTCTTCCGCCATAGTTTTGATCCATACGATGTTACACGATGTAACCAAGTTAACATTAACTTGCGGTAGTTTGCACTATTTTGAATTTTCATGTTCTTTAACTTTTTTGTTAGATTTTTCCAGTAATAATAACTGGATGTTAAAACCAAGATTAATAAAAATTGAATTATTTGACTCATATTAAATAGTTTATAAACAATACAATAAATGTTGCAACTTACAAATGTGTTGAGAAAACATGAGTCACTTACGTGAGTGTATTTTACCATTATGAAATTTGAATTCAACTAATAATACCTACATTATTTAATAAGGGATTATAATTTTTAAATTTTTTTTCGGAAGATTGAAATTTTTTCGGATCCATTTTCTGGAAAAATGCTGGTCCTTTTAAGCAGCATAATTTTATATACAATTGTTGCTTAACACTAATTTCCACATTCCCGGATCTTGATATAATTTATTTCAAATTCAAAATTATGGACATCCGAATTTAAATTAATTGCAATCACTGAACTTTCTACTGTAATACGTAGAACAATTGTATTATGCATGATAAGTTATTACTATTACTATTATTATTCGTGTTTTCAACATCAACATTAATATTATATTATTATTTAGAACAAAATCATCTTTGTTAGTTGTACTAATTTCTACTTCGTTTACATTATTGATAGTTTCAAAGAAATTCGTTAATTTACAGGTAACCAATACTTACTGCATTTTTTCCGCGGAGAAATTGACACGTTCTGGAGGAAAGCGTCCAATGAATAGGAGGGGGGGGGTCCTAGATTTGTATAAAAGTACCTAAACCTAATATTTAATAAGTAGTTACAAAAGTTTGCTTACTGGCTGAGCGTCGATTTCAAAATAAAAATGAGTCACGCCGGTCACACAGCTGCCTATATTGGCTAAAATTGTATTTTCCATCACCCCTCTATGTAAGTATCAACACCAACGATACCGGAACCGGACGTATTGGTTACGCAAAAGGTTCGTGTAACAGGGTTTATACTATTATCACTACATATTATATTGGCATATAGCTGTTGACCTGCCTGCACACGATGTACAATATTAGGCACTATGGTCTATGTTCTACTCACTATTCAGTAGTCAGTACTCATGATAATAAAGAATTAAAGATTCTATTTAAAAACGTGGTAGGTACAGACTATCGCAGATTATATAAAACAGTTTTATATAATCTGTGGTACTCTTCTGTAGTTTATTGTAATTAATATTATTGTTTATTATACTTAATATTGTTTACACTTTATCTTGGTAATTGTTGAGTTTGTAAACTTGTGCATTTTGAAGTGTTGTTCACGTGTTAATGTGTTATTCTATGGTGTTAAAATAATTATATTTTAAAATACAACTTGCAAGTTCAACATATTTTTAACTACGATACCGATTAATATTCTAGTTTTAAATGCCCAATTCTAACCAGTGTCTTAAATTTTTTTTTGGCGGGGAACATTTGTCCCTCTCTGATTTAAAATTGCCTAACCATAGGCGTAACTATGGGGTGACTTCAGAGGTGGGGCCTAAGCCCCCTAGCTTTTATTTTGGCCCCCTTGTCATAATTCCTATACTCCCACCAACGGTACCTACATTTCTAAATTTTAATTTAATTAATTTATTTTTGTTAACATCTGGGAACAATTTTTATATTATTGTCAAGCTATATGATATATTATCATTATATAATATGATGACCATGTGTATGACGTATCATGTGTAGTTTTGACTATATACGCATACATATATAGAAGTTGTAAATGAAGTAAACACAAAAGCAGTCACCCACACGATTTTATTTTTGTATAAATAGCGAAATACACATTTCCTCCCAATAATAAGAAGTGAAAGCTTATGACATTAGCAATAACAATGGTCTTAGGGTCATATCATTCGCTGCATCAAAGGACATGATTATAAGTAGGACAACTTTCCCACACAAAAACATACACAAAGTAACTTGGAAATCACCAGATGGAAAGACAACCAATCAGATTGACCATGTATTGATACAAAAGCGTTTCAGGTAATGCACTACGAACGTAAGGAGTTTTAGGGGCGCCGATTGCGATACAAACCATTTTCTAGTAATAGCAACACTAAGAATTAGTTTACTAGGTTATAAAAAGCTAAAAGAAAAAAGAAGGCCAATCTCAACGCAGAAGCATTTAGAGACCTAGAAATCCAACTTTTTAATATTTACCAATTTTAAGGTCTAGTTACGCATATGGGCCTGACTATTATTATATTTAATTACCTCAAAAACTTGCCTATACCATCGATTTTATAATATATTACAATGTCTATACCTATATTTTCATAAAATTTTGAAAAAATATTATATACTGTGTATAAGAAGTTATTGTGACAATGATAATTTGGTAATTATACTAATTAATAATAATTAATAGTTGGAATACCTATATTATTTATATTTAACTATGCGTCTGTCGCCTGTGTATATTTTATGAAGAAAAAGGAATGTATTGTTCAATAATATTGTTGTAGGTACGTAAGTACATTCAAAAATAATAATAATTAATATCAAATATCATATATTATAGTTTTCCTCTCGGTTTTATTTCTAATTTCTTTGTTCAATTTATTTCTTTTTTTATTTAAAATTTCCAGTAAAAACTATTGCAGTTCGACAATTAAAATATAAACACTTTGAGTGATAGTTAAAGTAATTCATCATAATGGTGTAATTATAAAAATGATTATAGACACAAATAAGAAAGAGAAACATAATTAGTGTATATAATAATACAAATAAATAGGAGTTAATGTGTCTTGATTACTTGTTTATTAATATGGCAGATAGAAATTAGTTAATAATAGAGGTTAGGTAAATCGGAGAGGAATTTTGAAAAATCTAAATTAAGATTTGAATTTTGTGGATTAATGTGAGGTTCAGAGCCGCAAGTAGGAGAGGCATATGTCGGGAAAAATTGAAGAAAGTTGTTGGGGAGGGACTCAGGGAATACGTTTTTTGTCTGCGAGGTACTTATATGAGAGTTGGAGGACTTGATTTTGGGGCTATTTAGAATGGATTGGGAGACTTAGGCACATCTTGAAACTGGCCGTATGACTCTGGGAACTGCGGACGCCTTAAGCTGGACTGGACCGATCCTTGGTGCAGAAATCTAACTCGTGAGACTCACCACATTTGACGCAGCGAGATGGATGATGGCAGTAATTCATCGTGTGACCATAGTCTTCACAATTGAAACATTGCGGTGGACCGTATGTCGTTTTATTTGGTTTCTCAATTACTACTTTCGTGTAATCGTGTGTAGTAATGAAGTGATGTCTTATAGATAAGAACTTGTCTCACTATGTGTCCTTCTTCCGACAATGCATACGAAATGTCAGCATGGAAGTTTCTGATAACGATCCTAAAAGGACGCTAAATGCGAGGACGAAAAGTATGAAAACTAGTGTTATTTTTTATCAAATATTTAGTCAAAGCGTTGAAATTATAGAGACCATACTATAAGACGGGCGATAAGGTATGAAGCAGACGCAGTGGACTTACATGTGAACCCGTTGGGGAAGGCGGTCTTAATTAATACATTTTGGTCTTTCTCTCCACGTGAAGAGGAGAATTTGAAGTATGGATAATATTAGTTTTGATGAAGTAGACGTAAGCGGCGGACTTTTATCAGAACGAACTATAATATTTTTTTTTATTGAATATAGTATATACGTGGAAAACACTGAACCAAGTATAAAATTAAAATAAAGATAACGGAGCGAACGTGACCGCGTGTGTTCATAATGAACGTTATAGCCGAACTGGTTCAATTTAGTTAAGTATGAAAAACTAAATTAGAGAGCGGTTTTTTTAAGTTACCCATTTGGGCTAATCAAAACTTTTGCTCCCTTCTATTGAAAACTGAAATAACGTCGTCACTGATTCAAAATTTGAATAAATTCTGAATAATACACTAAAAAAATGCACAACATTTTATTTTTAAAAATAATTTCGTTAAAAATTCAAATATTAACTTGGTGCACTTAAATGATAATACCTATACATTTTAAATGATAGTAAAAAAATTTTACAGATAGAACTTATTTACCCACGTTTCTATATCCATTGGATTTTTTTCTTAAGGGGGTTCGATACCGTCATTTTCTGTTTTTGTCTAACACATGCGTGACATAGTAATTTAGACGTGTTTTTTGCCAAACATACTAATTGATCTAATGAAGCGATAATAAATCTGAAAACAGATTTGAATTTGTCGTTAAGTCTACTTAAAATCGACTTTCCCACATTTATGATATTATTCCCCAAATTCCTAAAAATGTCATATTAAAAAAGTTTGTATTTCAATTTTCGGATTTAAAATCAAAAAATCATAAATGTGGGAAAGTCGATTTCAAGAAGACTTGACGACAAATTCAAATCTGTTTTTAGAATTCTTAGCGCTTTATTAGATCAATTGGTATATTTGGCAAAACTATGACTATGTCACGTGTGTGTTAGACAAAAACAGAAAATGACGGTATCGAATTCCCTTAAATCTTGTGAATACGTTGCGCATGGGACAGAGAGGGAAAACAAATGGTATGCTGACATCCTCTTCTCTAGCATTTGGTGAGCATTAGTTATCGTTAAAGGTACCACATATGTTAATATAAACTCTTATTAGTTAATAATTATTTGTTATTAGGCGTGTTCTTAATTGAACTTTACCTTTCATCGTAAAACAAAATTTTATGAGTCATCATAATCCCAGATTGCATATAAAAAGAAATAGTTCTTGCATTGCTGTAAGTTCCTAGTGGTGCATTAAATTAATCATTATTATACAACATTGAAAGAGTTAACACACACAAATATTATAAATTCAATAATTTTCTTTTTTCAGAAGTATTTCTGCTTAAATAATCTATTGAGGAAATCAAAATATAAAATATAGAGACTTTCTATCACAGATTTTAAAGCTATACAAAGTACATAAATTGGATTTTTTTTACCAGTATTCACATGAAAGCGTCTTTAGAAAAAGAATCAATACATTGTAGTAAAATAAAAATAAATATATTACGAATACATAACGTTAATAATTAAAAGCACAAACTTGACAAAACTGTTATAGATTTATCAGCTATTTTTAAACTTTTGTATATTTTACGCACATTGCACATCCTTATCTACATATTTTATTTGGATTTATAATACATAAAAATTATATTAACCAGTCAATGACAATAAAGTGATTTATGTGAAAGACAAATTAATTATAATAAACCTTATACTTAAAAGACAATAAAATTTTTTGTTTTCATTTAAAAATGTCTTTTTATGTAAAAAAAATAATCAATGTTAAAACCTAGCAAGTAGTTTTTAGTTCATAGTTGTGTTAGTAATAGATAAAAGTAATTAGAATGGCTCAGTTTTTTTTTTTTACTTAGCTTTTAAAAATAGTCACTCAGTATAATGTTAAATGCATAACACATATTATATACATTGTAAATATTTTGTAATAGACATATTAAATTACATTATCAATTGGTACAACATTGTATCTTAGAATTATTTACCCTATCGTTGTTAGAAACTTCTTCTGGATCAATTTCAAGTTTTAAATGCACTGGTGGTTTTGAACTTTCTACTATTTCTATAAGGTTTCGACCAATATTTGTGAATAAGTCTTGAATACCTGAAAAATAATAGGTTTTAGTTTTAATATTAATCAATTTATTTATTTGTTTTTAACTCATCAGTTATTTAACAGTTAATATTTTTTTAAATTTATCAAAGAATTAATTTTTGTAATTAGGTACACAAAGCTAATTCTTACAGTTATTACATTTTAGTTGTTCAGTGAGTCAAAACAATAGAAGAAGAGGATTTCAGCGTATTTTTTTTTGCTTTCTGACTTATGCCAAACATAGCATATTTGCATTCTGCAGAACCAAGTTACATTAATAGTTCATACAGTTATTCCCGCTAAACTGGTTAATTAGGAAATCAATTTTTATATTATGTATGCATATAGTATATAATATATAATATATATACACACAAATACATATGTATATATATAAATATATATTTATATATTTTATGTTACCATTGATTGTTATGTACCCATATATTATTGATAGTTGATACATAGAATAGATAATATTTTCGTAAAATACCAAACCCACCAAAATCTAGTTATAAAGCTATTTTAAACACCATTCTGTTTAATTTAGATTTTTAATAATCTGGATACAGCCCAGTCCCAACAAGTGTTTATAATTTTAATATTATGGTAATATAGTGAACCTACTATTGAGCTTAAGGTTACAAACATTTCAAGTGTTTATACTTTGGCTCTTTTACATATTGTAATTTTTTCTACAATGTATGATCATTTTAAAATTGTGAATTGTAATATTTTACAAGCTCAGAACTTGTATACAAATTTAAATATCATTAAAAAGTCAAAGTACAAACACAGTTAATGTTCTTTAAGTTTGAAAATAGGTCAATTCATTGTAATAATATTAAAGCTGACAACATGAGATTGGTTCTACTGAATGTAAATGTAGTGCATAGGTTAAAGAAAGAAACAAAATAACAGAGTGCTATCATCTAAAATAACAGTAATCAGTGAAATAAAAAAAATTACAGAAGTATGATAAAATTAAATTTTGAAGTAACATATTTCTGGGAGATTTGTGTATTAAAAAAGTATAACGGAATATGTGAACTTAGTTTGTATGCATTATTATAGTCTAGAATCTTGATTACAACTCACCTGTGTTTGAATAAACACTAGTTTCCCAATAATGAGCATTCACTGAATTAGCAAATTCTTCAGCTTCTTCAAACATTACTACCCGTGTATCTAATAGATCAGTTTTGTTACCAACTACATAATAAACCACAGGTGTGTCTGTATTTTTTCTTACTTCTGAAATTAAAACAAATATAAAGTTAATAATATGTATTATATTATATTTATAAACACACATTAAATTAATAACAAAATATAAGTTCATGTTTCAGCGTTTTCCTAATTTTAGACAGTTTAAAATTGTATAAATACCATTAATCCAATTTTTAACTTGATTAAATGACTCTCTGTCTGATACATCAAAAATAATAGCGACTGCGTCTGAATTTCTGTAATACATTGGTACTAAGCTACGAAACCGCTCTTGTCCAGCTGTATCCCAAACCTTGAAAAACATAAAGGTACAACACACAGTAATAATATTATTATTATTTTTTATTTAATTAGGTAATTAATTAAAAAATAAAATAACTTTTAAAGTAATTTGATAGTCCCGTAATGTAACTTTAGCATACATAAATGAGGCACCAATTGTTGCTTCACATTCCTTTTTGAAATCTCCTTTTATGTATCTTGTGATTATACTGGATTTACCAACACCTGAAACATGCAATTATTTTTATTTACCATAAATCTATTTTTTGTATATTTAAATAGCATCTTTTGGACTTAAAATGGTTACTACAGTTTTTAAAATGTAGAAATTAATCCTTAATAAAAGCCAAATATAACTTAATTATAATTTACATTAACTCCAAACGTTAGGCACAATTACTTAAATCATTTAATAGAATCTTAATTTTGACTTTTAAATACTAAATAAATGAAACAAAATATAATATTCATGCAATTTATTATTTATTTTATTTTATAAAATGATATTTACAATTTGTGCTACAGCACAATGTTGGTACTAGATACAACTATAATAATTTAATTTAGTGTGGAAAAATACTGGGTTTAATATGTATAGGCAAAGTTAATCTTTTGAAACATAAAAATAAAAGCATTTTAATAACGTGGGTACGTTTTTGGTTTTGGATAAACTATAATAATATTGAGATATAATAATATGGTATTCTTTATTTATAGTGACTTGTGACAAATCAGAAATTAAACATTGAAAACATGACAAATTTTATTTATTGTATGTGGTGGAAGAATTTCAGTTTATTTTAAGTAAGGAGACATTTATAAGTGTCTACAGTAATTTCATAATTATCCTGCATTATACTCTGAATTTAAAATGAAGAAGTGATATTATAATATATTAAACACTTATAATTATATACTAATGAAGTATTGTTGTTTGTCTATAAAGTATGCATCAAGAATAAAAATGCAATACCAAACTTGTTGAAGTTTCTGTATACATGAGTATATTTTTATAAATTAACTTACCCTGAGAACCCATGAATACTAATTTGGCAGTTAATCTCTTCATATTTGATTATTATCAATACTTTTGTAAGCAAGTTTATTTAATAATTTAAAGTATAATGTTTTCAAATACTTCAATCAACAATTGGTTGAACAACTATAATAAATAAAAAATATCAAACATTGTAATTTACTGATTAGAATCAAATGTACTAAGTGATAACTATTAATTATTGAACTATAAGGCTTCAATCAGTTCAAACAAAGAAAGTATAAATTAAATAATTTTATTTTTAGCTAAGTAGGCAGTATAATAAATAATAATATTATGTACTAGTTACTACTCTTTATCTGTATAACAAATTATATTATATTATTTCTATTTTATTATGTAATTAATAAAACCAAATTAAGGGAAAATGAAAGAAAAAATTATAAAATGTTAAGACAAAGTAGTAAAGTACCTATTACATAATAATGTATTCTCAAATACGTGAATTGTGAAATAAGGAAACACAGATTACTCATTTGCCTATAATAGTACCTATATAATTAAAATAATATAATCAACACTGCGGCAGCCGGCTTACTGCATATCTTACTGTCTATACAGATTAGTTATATTACAGACTATACTCAATCGGTCCATTACAATTTACCATTAGAGGCAATATATATGTATACAAATACACTATATGTGTAAACCGGTAGACTGGATCTTATCACACGTTTACAAACACGTTTCACAATTGGAATTTGGAGAACACGATTAAAGAGATAATATTGTATCTTCTATCGTATTGGAGAATCATCTATTCTGTGCCTAACTCATAAGTCATAGGGTAATAGTTACTCTATGGCCTAACTACCAATTTACCAAAGACACACTGACCAATACTATATTATCTTAGTGTTTAGCACGATTTAAGATATATCTTATATTGTGGTGTTTAGTCCGGGCCAATGTCCGAAGTCCAATTTCTTTTTTTTATACTTTGAAATTTGCATCATAATTGTAAATAATATTGTAATCTTCTCACTTCTGTGATTACTGATTACCATAATGGTCCATGGAACTTCTTATTATTTACCGATATTATAATTTATAATATAACTTACAAGGTCTGTGATCAAGGCATCATTTTGCCGCCATTTCACCACAAGTATCTTTATTTGAGTCCTTATCATTTTCTGGACAATCACCACAGCTGCAATGCTGCAGAAGCGCTGAATACTGCCATCCAACGATAATAAACTGTAAACATAGATATTTTTCTATGTATTAGCTTAGTAAAATACTAAAATTAAAAATCAAAATTGAAAATATTGGACCTTTTTAAATTCTAATTTAATAGATTCAAAATAACGGGCTAGGTTTGTTATATTTAATATAGTATTTGGTCTGTGAAAAAGTGCAATCCAAAAAGCCGTACAATGGAGTATTTGGATCCAGAAGAAGAATTTGAAATGATGCATGCCGATGAATTGGAAATGATGAATGAAATGGACTTTAATACTGATGGTAATTTGATCACATTTACATAATTTTACTGTTTTATTATATTATTAGATTTAATCAATACAAATATAAATAATGAATCGTTTTTATTAAATTATTATAGCTACAAGCTCCTTAAATTTAAAAGATTTAATATACATAGATAGTGAATATCTTTGTTCCATATTAATTTGTCAATATATACCAAAATAGTATTGTATCATACAATATTCTAGATAACCAAATGTACTACTTTTCCAAGTTACAACCTTATATGTATGCAGCCCTTTCGGTTTGCTAAAGCCAATCTAACATGTAATAGACTGTTTATTTTTATTATTTATAGCTGTTAAAATATGCTCACCAAAAGATACAAGAAGGAGTTTAAAGTTTTCTTCTAATGAAAAAATTGAATCTGAAGGGAATTTCAATTTGTCAAGTGAATTAAATGGTGTGTTTCCTTTATCTCAAACATCAGTGGTTTCTTTTAATCTGGATGATAATAATGAAAACGAAGTATGTAATATCTTAAGTTCTATACCACTCTGATCAAAGTTATATTTATTGTAAATTTATTAATTTTCAGCCACAACCAAGTACTTCACTGTCTATTATCAACAATAAAAGATATTTAGATGTTGAAGATCTATTTGGAAACACAGATGATATTAATTTTGAAGATGAAGAATGTAAGTTTTCAAATATTTGTATTATCATTATACTGTATGATAGGTTATAATAACAATAATGTATGATTTTAAATGTATTTATTATACAATTTTAATGAAATGCATCACAAAAAATAAATTTTGTCATTAATGTTTGATATAACTTATAAAAACTGGTTGTTAACACATATTTAATTTTGTTTTAGTGGGACCTGTATTAAAGCGCCCAAAAGTAGACCCATTATCTGACAAAGATATTAAACAGCAAGATCTAATAAAAAAAATTATTGATCAAAGGAAAATATTCAAATATGGAAAGAGATCCAATTTTTTATCATCTGTCTCTTACAATAGCTCAAAGTAATTTTTTAATTATTTTTTATAACCAAAAGCTTGTATTAAAGTTGCTATTTAGAAGATTTTATGCACTAATTTACATAAATAACATGTACCTGAAAATGTATAAAAACAAATAATAATGTAGGTATCTACATAATCATCATATCATATACAACTATCTATATAATATAATTAAGTGTTAGCATTTCTGTTATCATGAGTGTTCACTGAAACCATCAAACCGATCCACTCAAAATTTAAATGAGATATCTCTTTGAGTCTCAGAGGCATGTATAGAATGCGGTTAAGTTATTTCGTAGAATATCAGTAGTCCCAAAATAACTTATAATACAAATTTGAAGTTTTATTTTCTTTTTGTGGTTGAAAAGAATGTAATGTTTTTTCCAATGGAGATGTGGAGTATGCTATTCTGAAGCTACTGAAAGCAATCAAAAACATAAGCATCAATTGTTTTTTGAGTTTTTTGATTTTATTTTATATAGATACATTAAAAAAATTAGTTTCATATGAAATATGCTTAATTCTTAAAATATGCTGTTATTCCTTATATATACATTTTTATGTATTTAATAAAGTTCTTTCTGTGATTTTTTTGTAGATCTAATTGAACTAAAAAAGAAAAAAAATTATAGTCCTGTATATACCATGCTTACCTATACCAATTAGCCGTAGAGGGGGATTCGCCGCTCGGATATTAAACTGTTTTTTGCCGTTTTACCTATAAACTTAAAAAATTATTAAAAATGATGAAAATAACATTTTCAGAAAAATTAACCCTACAAAATTGATATCTTTAATTGCTTAAAATATATAAAATGAAAAAATAATTTTTTAACTTTTTTACAAAAAAATTAAAATATATGTAGTCTTTATCCTTGCGAGTTAAAAAAAAGGTTAGGTGTAAATGTATTGTATAATTGTACTACATGTTTTTAGCCATACTCAGCCGTATGAAAGTGTATCAAGAAGAGTTCCATCATGGTCTTTTTTTCCTGCATGTGACGGTGAAAATCAAAGAGTTTACATTCGTTTTCGATCTGCAGATGCTGTACAAGAAGAAGTATTTTAAACACATTCATCACAATTTAGAACAAATAATTTATTATGAAATTAATTTAAAATCCTTTTACATATTTACTATGATTCAGATATCAAGTTTATCATGGCATACAAAATCAGTGCAGTTGCTTTCAGAACCTGTTGATGAATTGATTGCACGTGCTTATGAAAAGGTTTCATTATTTATTTATTAGTTACTTTATATGAAAGCAATTTAAAGCACATTTATTTTCTTAAACCTAGTTTTATCTTTTGTACGAAATTTGTTTGTTATGAAAATATACAATTATTTTTCAATGTAGTCACCAGATCGGCATAATATTTTTGATACCTAGGGATCAACTTTTAAGCCAATTCTATATATTTTGTTTGGCTTCTTCTTCAGTTGTAAGACAATAAACATTGGCCATTAATGCCAACAAAAAGTATGATATGCAAAATCCTCCATAAAATGTAGAAAATCGAAAACAACAAAAGGAAAGTCGATGAATGTTTGCCTTTTTCTCTAATATGCTCTTACTGACACAACTCATTTGACAACTTATCTTTTCAATTTGTTTGGTTAGAACGTTCTGAATCATCAATTTAACAGTCTTGACTTTGCCGTAAGTGATTTCGAAGGGGCAACACAAAACTATTATTTTGTACTAAGTATTAAGAATATATTGAAAAAATGGTAACTGCGTTGAAAATTGTTCATATTTAAAACAAATTCTATAATTTTGAAGAAAAATCACTAAACTTCTTAAGAATAAGTGGGTTATGCTTTCCAAATTTTGCTTGTATCAGATTTTTAATTACCAATATTTTTCTTATAGATTGAGAATAATGAAGTTATACGATCAGGAGTGAATCAAAATGGTGTTACCATCTTGGATAATGGTATTGATAATGAAGCAGAATTGTGGGTTCAGAAGTATAAGCCAAATAGATATTTAGATTTATTAAGTGATGAAAGTACTAATAGAACGCTACTGCAATGGCTAAAAATATGGGATAAAGTAGTTTTCAATAAAGAAGTCAACAAAAAAAGAAAAGTTATGGATGTTTATGAGAAATCAGCAGGCATGTTTTTAATAGTTAACATAATATTTATGTAATATAGAGGGTCATTCAAATGTTGTTTAAAAAAAATGAAGGGGATTATGTTGGTTCTTACTAGGATGGGTGGTGGTGGTACCTGTAAAGTGGAAACTAATATTTATGGCTTATTTTCAATCCTTTAATTAATGTTATAATATAGATGGTATAGTTATTAAGTGTAAATTAATCAGGTATTTCTATTTTAATACATTCTTATACTACATTACTTATTATATATTTTTTGTATACACCAATATACCAATATCAAGTAGTTAGTAAGTATTGAGTATTGCTCAATAAGAGTTACTCAAGTCTTATTTAGATTTTATGAAGGAATATTGTATATTTTTATATAATCTAAATCTAACTATCACATTTTTGATTTAAAGTTGAGAAATTTTTGTCTAAGATATAAAGTTTGAAAATGAAACACAAGGTATCTAGGTTCCTTATAAGGAATTAATTATTAATACACAACAATTTAAAATTATAAAAAAAAACATATAGATTTTACAGGCCATACTGTGTTTTACTTTAATTAGCATTTGAAGATTAAATTTTAATTAAATTGGATACCTATATAAAAATAAAAATTTCAATTTTTATTTTTTTAGTTCAAAATATTATCCATAGGGACTTTTACTATTACTCATAAGTATATTACTTTTTTATTATTTTTTTTTTGCAATTTTTCAAAATATTTAAGTTATTTTTATACCTAAAATTAATTCATGTCGTTCTATAGTATGTCAGTATTGACTTTAAAGTTAGGTAATAACAATAATAATTAATGATGTATCATAATATGCTATGTTTTTGAAAACAAAAATCTATAGTTAAATCATACAATCCAATAAGTTTTACTTTGTTCATAACGTATCTAGGTACTAAATTTAAGTATACTTGATAAATATATAAAGTTTTAAAAGCTGTGTGATGGATGCTTAGTCTACACACAAATTTGGTAGTGGGTGCTGTATTGAATTTATAATTTCGTCTCACAATTTGGGGTGAACCTCAGCTTCACTGGTGTGATTCTTGCCATATTTGCCACATAACATTTGGAAGACCTTGTATAATACATACACTGGATAAAGTTAAATTTAAGTTATTTTTATAAAGTTAATGTTTTGAATTTAATACAATTTAATATAGGAAATAAGTTTACAAAAAAGAATCAAACCTTAGATGAAGGGTTGGATGAAAATAATTGTCCTAAGCATAAATTAGCATTGTTATGTGGACCACCTGGTCTTGGGAAAACCACTTTAGCTCATTTGGTAGCTCGACAAGCAGGTACAGTATTTTTATTATAGCCATATAAATATGTAATCTTATATTTACATTATTTATGTCATTAGGTTACAATGTTGTTGAAATGAATGCTAGTGATGATCGTAATCTTACTAGTTTTAAAAGACAACTTGAAGCTACTACACAAATGTGTTCTGTGATGAGTAATGATTCAAGGCCTAATTGTTTAGTTTTGGATGAAATTGATGGAGCACCTGTAGTAAGTAGTAAATATTTAATTAATATATGTCAGGGGTCACCAAATAAATAAATAAATAAATAAATACCTGTGGATAAACTTAATGTGGCCTACAGACAAGATATTTATTTTTTGATGATGAATTAAATAAAGTTCTCATTAATTTTTGAATTTGATTTTATTTTCATTGGATAATACATTAAATTCTCCAACAACTTCCTTCATTTCTAAAGTAATCCTTCAAAAATATCAAATGGTGTTCTCTAATTTACTT